ATTATTATTATTATTGTCTTTTAGTTGACCGTAGTCTTTGAGTCGAATATCCATGGGCCGTATCAGCCCTTTGTTTATATAGGTCGAGTGTCTCTCTTCGTTGAGATTTAGCCGAGGGCTGATAGGTGTTGTTCGAACTTGGCCGAACTTGAACTTTTGCTATATCGCGGCCGAGAGCCGATTGGCGTTGTTTGAACTTGGTCAAATTTAATCTTTTGTTAAGTCGTGGCTAAGGGCCTATAGGTGTTTGTTCGAGGTTGGCCAAATTTAACCTTTCGTAAAATCACGGCCGAGGGCCGATAGGTGTTTGTTCGAGCTTGGTTGAACTTAACCTTTCATCAAATCGTGGCCGGGGGCCGATAGGTGTTTGTTCGAGCTTGGTCGAACTTAGCCTTTTATTAAATCGTGGCTGAGGGCCGATAAGTATTGCTCGTGCTTGGTCGAACTTAACCGTTCGTTAGAGCAATTTTGATAAGTGTGAATTTCTATTACTTTGACGTCGTTGTTCTGATTACATAATTGGAGAAAGTTACAAATTTTGTGCGTTGGCTGGCAATCTAGTCCCAGTCCCGATATATTTAGTCCCTTCATTGTTCGACTTGGAGAATTTTGAGGAGTCGGGCAATGAAAAAGAAATCGATCTGTTCTTCGTAAACTTCGACTCGAAGTGTCCCTCTCGTCGCCTCGTTAAAAACCTCCTTGAGAAAACCCTAATGGGATAAAACTCAAGTGAGGGAAAAGAGAGTATGACTTGGAAGGCACCTCTCATTTTCTAGAAGTTGAAGTATTTGAGGTGGCTGATATTCCAATTATTTGGTAACTGTTTTCCTTCCATTGTTTCTAGTTGGGAAATGCATAAGTACCCCCTCAAACTTGTTTCGAATTTGTTGTTACACACTATACTTTGTGGGGATCTTATTACCCTCTTCAACATTTTCGAAGTGAAATAAATACCCCCTTGAAATGTCTCAACTAGATCTGTGTTTAAGAGGTGAAATACACGCGCCTGACAGAGGCTGACACGTGTATTTTATCATTTAATCTTTATTTTTTTTTAATTTTCTTCTTCTTCCGTATTTTTTTCTCCATCATCCACCGCCCCAACTTCCACTCCACCATTGCTGGAGAAATAATAGACCCACTTTAAAACCATACATTTGATATATTCATTAGATCTTTTCCTTGCTCATCAGGAATTGGACGATTAATATGATATTTCCAAAAATAGTTGCATATCTTATTAAATGGATTTGGTGGTGCTTCAATCTCCCTCAAGCACTGAGAACTTGATTTGACATAGTTTGAAGTTTGAACAATATTCACACTTGTAAGCTTCCGACCTTTAACCCTAAAAGAATAAAATCTCGATATCTCCTTTTAACTCAAGTGCAGTAACAAGTAGAAGAAAATTTCTATTGAGTTTTCCTATTGTAATGAGGTATGATTAGACAAGTGGCTGAAAAAATTTGTGACGGGATGAAGAAAAATTATCGTTGAGGTTTCTGCCATGGGGAGTTTGCAAAGATGAAGAAGAGGGAGAAAGGTTTACAGTGAATTGAATAGTTAATTAAGTAAAATTAATTTTAGTGTCCACTAAAAAACTGACACACGTAAGTATTAGTCAATTTTTAACTTATATTTTGCTTCTCACTTGCTTCCAAGAGAGTGTACTCACTTTCTCTGCCATGTCATCACTCAAGGAGGTATTTATTTCACTTTGAAAATGTTCAAGGGGGTAATAGGATCCCCGCAAATTATAGGTGTGTAATAGCAAATATGAGACTAGTTTGAGGGGATACTTATGCTTTTTCCCGTTTCTAGTTGGAATGATCCCTTGTTTGCTTTGCCTACAATTTTGTACGGGTTGTCCCAGTTGGTTTCCAACTTGCCTTCTCATAGATCTCTACTTGCTTGAGTTTTGGCTTTGAGTACGTAGTCCCCGATCTTGAGCTGTCGGACCTTTTCATTTTTGTTGTAGTAACGTTCCGCCTGCTATTTTTGGGCGACTATCCTTATATACGCCATATATCTTCGTTCGTCGATCCCATCGAGCTCTTGCCTTCTACTCTCGTCATTGCTGGTGCCGCTTTCAAGTGAGTACCTTAGGCTGGGTTCCCCAACCTTGACTGTTATAACTGCTTCTGTTCCATACACCAGAGAATAGGGTGTCTCTCCTGTGCTCGTCTTTGGGGTGGTTTTGTGTGCCCATAGTACTTCTGGGTGTATTTCCGGCCACAGTCCCTTGGCTTCTTAAAGTTTTTTCTTCATGATGTTTAATATGGACTTATTGGAGGATTCTGCCTGCCCGTTTCCCACTAGGTGATAAGGGGTTGAGAGTATCCTCTTAATGTGCCATTTCTCGAAGAATTAAGTGGTTTTCTTTCCCGTGAACTGGGGCCCGTTGTCGCAACTTATCTCCTTGGGTAGGCCGAATCGACAGATGATGTTTTTCCATATGAAGGCGATTACCTTTTGTTACCGCATTTAGGCGAACACTCCTGCTTCCACCCATTTAGAGAAATAGTTAGTTAAAACTAGAAGAAATCGTACATTACCTCGTCCTGGCAGGAGTAGGCCCACGATATCCATTCCCCACTTGATAAAGGGCCATGAAGAGGTGACCGGATGTAGGTGTTCTCCCGCTTGGTGAATTATTGGGGCATATTTTTGACATCGCTCGCATTTGTTTACAAATTCTGAGGCGTCTTTCTTCATGGTGGGCCAGTAGTACCCTGCCCGTATGAGACACCTGACGAGTTCTCGATCACCGAAATGGGCACCGCAGTGGCCTTCTTGGACTTCCTCGAGGACGCGCTGGGTTTGACACGGACCTAGGCATTTTGCCAAAGGGCCTCCATAAGTTCTCTTGTATAAGTCGATATGAAGGAGGTTGTATCTAGCGGCTTGCATTCTTAGTTTTTTGGCTTTCTTTTTGTCGTTTGGGAGGATTCTATCCTGCAAGTAGGTAATAATGCAGTTGCGCCAGTCCCAAGTGATGCAATGAGGAGGTGGAATACACTTTTATCCCCAGTCGTGATGCTTTTGGTGGCTGCGGCCAACTTGGCGAGACCGTCTGCTTCTATATTCTAAGCTCGCAGGATATGGTCGAGCTGGCATTCATCAAAATTGGGGAGCAACTTATAGATCTTGGCTTGATATTTCTACAACCTTTGTTCTTTGATTTGGAAAGTCCCTGTAACTTGATTAACCACAAGCTGAGAATCACAACGGAGTTTTCAGCCGCTTCGCCCATATTTGAGTGCTAGCCTTAACCCTGCAATTACGGCCTCATACTCGGACTAGTTATTAGTCATATCTAGGCATCTTATGGATTGGCGAATAACTTCGTCGATAGGGACCTCGAGTACGAGTCCCAGTCCAGATCTAGAAACAATAGGTGCACCATCGGTGTACAAGACCCAGAGGTCTTGTGTTTGAAAAGAAGTTTGAGCAGCCTCCTTCTCGGCCTGGGGGATCTCTTTTTGCGCTAAAGTCTACGACGAAGTCGGTGAGCACTTGCGACTTTACCGTTGTTCGAGGCTGATACGTGATATCTTGCTTACTTAGCTCGATGGTCCATTTGGCCAGCCTCCCCGACAGCTCGGGTTTATGTAAAATTCTTCTTAGAGGAAAAGTGGTAACGACCGAGATAGGGTGGCACTGAAAATAGGGTCTAAGCTTTCATGAAGCTACGACCAGTGCCAGGGCTAATTTTTCGAGGTGTAGGTATCTCGTCTCGGCATTGACAAGTATTTTACTAATGTAATAACTAGGAGATTGCGTACCTTTATTTTCTCGATCCAGGACTGCACTTACTGCTACTTCGAAGACGGCGAGGTAGACGAGGTGTTCCCCGAGTTCGGGCTTCGAGAGTAGAGGCGGTGATGAATGATACGCCTTTAGTTCTCGCAGCGCTTGTACGCAATTAGGCATCCATCGAGGCCGTTATCCTTTTTGAGTACTTCGAAAAATCTATGACATCTATCGGATGATCGCGAGATAAATCCTGATACGGAGGCGATTCAACCAATCAACCTTTGGACTTGCTTCTTAGTAGTCAGTTATCCAGGTATTCCATCGATAGCCTTGATTTGATCTGGGTTGACTTCAATCCCTCGTTATGACACTAAGAAACCCAAAAAATTTCCCGAGGCTACGCTAAATGCATATTTCTCTAGGTTAATTTCATCCCTTACTGTCTTAGTATGTCGAAAGCTTCCTTCAAGTGGTCGATATGGTCTTCTTCCCTCACGTACTTGACCAGCATATCATCGATATACACCTCCATGGTCTTACCGAGCTGATCTTTGAACATTCTTGTGACCAATTTTTGATAGGTGGCCCCTGCGTTCTTTAACCCAAACGACATATGTTCCTCGATGGGTGATGAAGGTGATTTTCTCCTGGTCCTCTTTTTCCATGATTATCTGGTTATAGCCTGAGTATGCGTCCAGGAAACTCAACAGCTTGTGCCCGACTGTTGCGTCGATGAGTTAGTTGATGTGTGGTAGTGGGAATGAATCTTTCGGGCATGCTTTGTTTAAGTCTGTGAAGTCTACACACATCCTCCATTTCCCGTTTTTCTTTTTGACCATCACCATGTTGGCTATCCACTTGGGGTACTTCCACTCCCTGATTTCCATTAGCTTATCTACCTTCTAGTGAGCGACATCATTGATGGTGGGATTGAATTTTCGTCAGACCTGCCTCACAAGGGGATAGAATGGGTCGACGTTCAATTTGTGTATGGCGATCTCTTTGGGGATGCCCGACATATCTACATGGCTGAAAGCAAACAAATCTGCGTTAGTTATTAAGAATTGACTAAATTTACCTGGTTCTCGGAGTTTGCAGCCGATGTAGGCCTTTTTGCTGCGGTCACTAGGATGTAATTGAACGTGGTCGAGGTCCTCTATAGTTGAGTCCGCGACTTCGACCGTTTTGGGGTCCGAAATGACATCCCTGGCTTCTTTCTGTGGCGACCACGGTCCTGTTGATTGCTATGCTTCTTTTTCCTTATCTTTCTTTTGTTGAGTTGTCGTGCTATCCATGGCGATGTTGTAACATTCTCGGGACGTGCGTTGTTCCCCTCGTATGCTGAATATTCCCCAAGGTGTTGGGAACTTGATTACTTGGTATAAACTGGAGGGGACGACTCTCATAGAATGTATCCATGGTCGTCCTACTATGCCGTTGTATGCGGTGGCCTGGTCTATGATGTGGAACGTCGTCTCTAGAGTCATGCCATCGGCAAAGACGTGGAGTATAATTTCTCCTGATGTCCGTTCAACTGCATTGTTAAAATCGGTCAGTGTGATGCAGAGCGGCACTATCTTGTCCTCGAGTCTCATATGGGCGAGGACTCGGGGATGGATAATGCACACCCCACTCCCATCATCTACCATGATACATTTAACATCAGTATCTAAAATTTGTAAAGTAATGACTAGAGCATCGTTGTGAGGGAAAGTTAAACCGTCGACATCTGACTCGTCGAAGATGATACTTTCTTCGAGTCCGTCATATCGTTTGTGGGTGATCGCTCTTTTGAGCTTGTGAGTGGTAGTGAACTTGATGTCGTTGATGGAGGTGTCGTCAGTGCCACCAATAATCATATTGATGGTGTGTGCTGGTGAGGGCGGCTTCGGCGGGCCTTGACGTTCTCGACCCCTAGTGAATGTGCTCCTTCCCTTGTCGCTCAGCAGCTCTTTGAGGTGCCCTTGTTGCAACATGTTCACTACCTCCTGCCTCAAGGCGATGCAATCTTCTGTTTTGTGTCCGTGTTCCTGATGGAACTCGTAGAGGGCTTCGGATTTCCTGGTACTCAGATCAGACCTCATTTTTGGCGGCTACTTTACCTTAGTTCCAAGTTTCTCCAGGGCGTAGACTATTTCTGTAGGCGAAACACAAAAATTGTAAGCATATAACAAGGAGGCATACCTCTCTCGTTCTTGTGAGTCCCTATCTTCGGCCTAGATGGGCCATCATCATAGTGGAGGGAAGGAGGGCGGACGCCATGATATAAGGCTGATGTCATTCTCTGTTTGGACGTGAGACTGGATGATCCTTCCTCATGTTATCTCTTCGTTCTTTACTGGGCTCGGTTTGTACCGAGATGAGCCCCCGAGTTGGTCTGTTGAGGTCGTCATCATCTGCTCGGACTTCAGCACAATAAGTATTATGGATTTCATCCCAAGTGGTTGGAGGGTACTTCATCAATCGACTTAGCAGCTTTCTGGTCGCTCTTGAACCCTCTCTACTCAACCCATTCTGAAAGGCTGAGACTGCCATCCCTTCGGATACATTTGGTAAGGTCATCCTCACCCTGTTGAATCGGGCGAGGAAGTCTCTCAGTCCCCCTCCTAGGGATTGCTTGATGGCGAAGATATTGTTCACTCTCGTTTTGGCTTTCTTGGCCCCGACATGTGCCGTCACGAACTTATCGGTCATTTCTTTGAATGTTTCTGTGGAGCAGGATGGTAACTATGAATACCAGGTTAGTGCCCCTCCAGTGAGGGTATCGTCAAATTTCTTCAGCAAAATGGAGGACACATGCTCCTTGGTGAGGTCATTGACCTTCACGGCGGTGACGTAATGAGTCATGTGGTCTTCGAGGTCGGTTGTTCCGTCGTATATCCTAAGGTATGGTGGCAATTTAAAGGTTTTTGGTATGGTATGTGAGGCTGCTTCCTCACTATATGGCTGCTCTACGAACTTGCCGTCATCCCTTTTTGGCAGTAGCTGAGGAGTGTCCAGTATCTTGTCGGCTCGCTCTTGGTGATCTTTAATTTGGTCTCTGAGAGTTTTTTCTCCATTTCTTCCATTCTTTTCAAAATAGCAGCGAGGACACCATCACTTGCACTTTTAGTAACATTGTGATTTATACCTGCGTTGGAGGGTCTGGTTGATCGCCTTGTTCGTCTCCTCATTGTACCGTGTTGGTTCTCGTGGTTTCTATAGTCGTGCATGAAGCTTGTTTGTTGAGCACGCTTACTCAGGTGCCGGTCAGCCATGCTTCGAGGAGCTTTTTCATGGCAAACGACGTCGCTTCTCCTGTGGACGTGGAAACCCCTTTTCCGTTCGGTTTCATTGTGCTGCAGTGAGGGGGAGGCGATCTCTCATGCCTGGGGGAGGCAGTGAATGTCACGTCATCGCCCAGTGTTTCATAGCTCTCGTTAATAGCGTTCATAAGGTTACCGTGAACGTCACCTGTCACCCTTGTTCCGGTTTCTTGGTTAGCCATGAAAATTTCTATACGAGTAGAAAAGAGAAAAACTTTGTGGCTTGTTAGGTTAGCAAATCACGTGGGTTGTAGATCTTATGAAAACTAAAATATTATTTAAGAAAATCCCCACAAACGGTGCCAAACTATTTGACCCAAAATTTAGTTTTGGGTTTAAACAAGTATATTTTCTAGTAAAATAGAGCTTAATCTTTGCCAATATCAATATTCGAAAGATGTGTTGACCGATTTTGTGTGACAAGATAATATGCGTATATTTGCATCTTGCAAGAGCCTACCTCTACCCGAAAGCGAGACAGGGGGCTAGGTAGAGAATACCTCTTAGTAACGATAAATGACGATAACACTGTAGTATTTAATGACCCAACAATGAAGGAGATAACATTTAATAGTAACAAAATAACAAAGAATGACATTTAAGTAAATGAAGGCGTGTGCCTCACCCAAATAGGGTGAGGTTCTTTAATATTCTTTCTGACAATGTTGAATGATTGATGAGCCTTTGAATATCTCCTTGGATTGTGGGAGGAAAGTTAGACAAGAATCTCAAGAAAAATGTGTATTTTGTATGTATGCAATAAAGCAAGAATCTCAATGGATGTCAATGTGTTCTCTTACAACTGAATGTTTTCATGTCCCCCATAGCTATGTCTCTTTCTATTTATGGAACATATGTCTAAAAACCCTAATAGTACAGATCCAAAGAATATTCATAGGAATATTTTCTCTAAAATCTTATCTAAAACTAGCCGTTATTACTCCTTTTTAAGAGGAGTGCTTGTCCTCGGCCTTGACCTGTGATGACTCCTTGACCAAATCCTTCGTCTCTTGCTAGATCACTTTGACCTTGAATTCGCCTCTTGCTGAAGTCACAGTGATGACACGTGGAAGCTCTCGAAGGCCCTCTTAATGCTGATATGGTCTAAGTTAATTTTTGGCCCATACATCTACCTTTTAAGTGATATAACTATTTTTCCACAAAAATGCTCACAACTTATCTTTGTCCCTTTGGGCAATTTGTTGATTTTTTCTTTTGGCTTTTGGAAAAAAGTTTTCCATGAAAAGAACATATTTGATAGTAACTGTTGTTTAAGAAATTTTATGAGTTTTACCGGGACAAGTTTTTAAAAAGAATTTACTTCTCAAACAAGATAAAACTTAATAACAAGGCAGAATAGCCTGGGAGACACTTGTACTTATTCCGGTTTGTCATCCCGATCAATACACTCCATAAAGTTTCATCTAGACACTTCAACTTAATCAAAACAAGACTTTTAAACCCTTCGGAATCGCGTGAAGCTCACTTGCTTGACGTGGATGACAAATCAGCATCCACATCAGATTCTATGCCAAAATAATATTATTTAACAAAATTTTAATTTCTGAAACAAAAAATAAAATAAAATAAGCAAAAAATTAAAATTAAAGAAAACCCTCCTCCCTTCTTCAAACCCACCCACTCAACCTTCTTAAAATAATAACCCACCTGCCATGGCTTCTCCACCATGAGTACCACTATTTCGTTCACTCCTCTTTTAAAGAAAGTTAGCTATCCATGAAAAACACATGAGCAGAGAATTAAGTCTTTTGAATTTTGACTTATTCCTCTACCCCAATTTGAAAGGGCTGTGAAAAAATTTGAAAGCTAAAACCATCGAAAAAAATGGAGGAAGGGACTGAAGAAGAAGAGGAGGGGGGGAGAGCGAAGGGGGAAAGGATTGAAGAAGAGCAGAACGAAAGGGAGAAAGGGATGAAGAAGAAGAGGAGGGAGGGGGCAGAACGGGGGGCAGAACGAAAGGGGAAAGGGATGAAGAAGAAGAAGAGGGAGGGGCAGAACGAGGGGGGAAGGGTTGAAGAAGAAGAAGACGGGGGTAGGGGTGGGTGGGGTAGGGGGGGGGAGGGGAGGAACGGAAGGGGCCCGGTAGGGGCTGAAGAAGAAGAATAGTATTATTTATTTATTTATTTATTTATTATTTTAATAAAGAAAAATCATCAGCTCACGCACCTAATGTGCGTGTAAATCACTTATTTTGTCCACCTCAGCCATATCAATGCCACATAAGCCCGGTCAACGGTCAGAAGGGTTTAAAAGTCTTGTTTTGATTAATTTGAAGTGTCTAGATGAAACTTTATGGAGTGTAGGGACCGGGATGACAAACCGGAACAAGTACAAGTGTCTCCCAGACTATTCTGCCTAATAACAAACCAAAAGTAACCAACATAAACAGTGAGAACTACACCTCCGAGTGTCATTTACAACATACTTCAAACATCTTGTTAAGTGGAATGTGCTATGAAAGGAGATTTTGCATAGCCGAAAGTTTAAAACCAACTACAACTAGTATCTTTTTTTTCTTATTGTAATATCTTTATTGATGATGTTTTGCTCATGCCTTTGGCTTTCCTAATTTTAAACTTATTTCTCCTTTTCTTGCCATGTTTGTTCTCTGAATTGTAACATCATTAAGAAAGATTCTTCGTTTAAGATAGTTGAGACTGTTAGCTGCTTCAAATGCAACAAGAGTCAGAGTACAATGAATAAAAATACAACACAAAGTGAACAATCCTAGTACTAGCATGCTCATTGAGAAAGAAGATTGGGTGCACTCAACTAGTAATCCAAATCAAGTTCAGAGTGAACTTAAGAACATTCATCTAAATTTGAGTCACAATTGGAGAGCCTTAGCCTCAATCTATCATCCTTGCATCTCCTCTGATCACCAACCATGGACTCAAATACATCCAACAAATGATCCAATCCTTCAGAATCCTCTTCCCCAACAGCTTTCAAAGCATATACAATACTCTCAATTGTGGACAAATATCCAGCTTTAGGTTGATGCCTTACTTCACTATACAAGCTCAGCTTCTCCACATCCAACTTCACATGTGGCAACACCTTCAACCAAGGATTCTCATTATACATTCTCTTTGCCTTTGCCCATGTTCCATCCAGTACTATCAGATTTTTCACTTCAAAATCTATATCCTCCACGCCAATCGAATTTTCACTTGGAAAAAGCAGTACTGATCCTAGAGGAACTGCAACTTCAAACTCCTCTAATTCTTGATACTCACTGCTCCCCTTTAATGGCTTTCTCTGCAACTTTTTTACTAAAATCCCTTTTCGTATATCATCAATAGTAGCTCTAGAGCCAAATAGCTTACTCAAATCTTGATTCTGAAAGGGACAATTTGTACCGTACTTCTCTATAGTAAAAGAAACATCAGCATTACTATCAAAGTTGGAGTCTTTAATCAAAGGTGGAGTCTTTTCATCCAAAGCATGAGAACCAATTTCAAGGTTTGAGTTGAGCAAACGTATGAGAAACTGAGCCTCATAATTAACATCAGAGACTGAAATTACACTCAAATTTTGCAGGCCTATAGAAGCAATTCTTGTTGAATTGAGAGGGTGTTTTTTCTCTAGACTGTGCTGAAGGATTGTGACAGCCACGGAGTTTTTGAGACATGGAATCTTCAGTCGAGTGCAGAGACAGAGGCGGGTCGGTTTGGAGCATGATGGGCACATGGGTCTCTTTGAATGACCCGATTCAGTCACCATTTCTAGGGTTTGAGGCAAACTGTGAACTCGAAAAGGTTGAGGGTTCTTTCGGGTTAAGAAATGGTTACCACCTGGCAATGAAACAACCCGATTCTTGAATTGCAATTTCATGTCTTTCACAGTTCCATGCTAACAGATATTTTCGGGTATGGTCGAAAAGGAAATAGGGCAGGAGTGACCCGACCCGGGAAGTTGCAGCACGAAAGGACATGACGAAATAAATCCATGGGACAGAAGTAGAAAACATATGTGTGAAAAATGACAAAAGTCGTCCCTTTTGTTTGGGGTAATTATACTTTGAGCAGTTTTAATTCTCTAAATTTACCAAAAGCGAGTATTTTTTTTTGAATATCTGTGAAATATTTAACAAGATCTGGGAATTGTGAAATATATTTTTAGTAAACTGACACTTAGAAATGAAGTGTTTGCAGTTTCTGTTACTCCCTCCGGTCCACAATAAGTGACCAATTTGCTTTTGGCACGCCCATTAAGAAAATATTAAATTCTATACAAAAATACCTAGTATGACTAAACTACCCTTAATTAAATATTTAATGTGAGGAGTAAGAAAACTTTTTAGGGATATGCACATAAGGTTAATTTTGTAAAAACAATTGGATTCTTTCTTGATTATATAAATGGACACTTATTTTGGACCAAAATCAAAAAGCAAATTGGGCACTTATTGTGAACCGGAGGGAGTATTTAATTATATTTGGAGTCTAGGTACTGTTTGACAAAAAAGTGTTGAACTTTTCAGTTAAATCAATTAATGATAAGATGAAGGGTGAATCTTAGTTAAGAATAATAAAATCTAGGCCAAATATTATGTAAAGTCAGTAAGATAAATAATGTTAATCAGTATGCTCGTGCTGATTAAATGCTCATGAATGCAATAAAATAAATGTGCAATAAATGTAGATAATGATTATGAATATAACAAAGAGGAATCTACCACCCAATTATTATAAGACTGTATACGGTAAAAATCAGAGAGTCGATTTGTGGTCATTAAGGCACCTCGAAAAGACCGCCCCAGAAGGCTCGAAGTTCAGCTCGGAGTTCGACCTCGAGGTTTCTTAATGATCGACCTCGAGGCAGCGCAAGGCAGCGGTTATGATGCACTAACGGGAAGTTCCCAAGGCACATGACTAAAGCTGACCTAGTCTATTAGGCTAGTCCAAGCCCATACAGTGGCATTAAATAGTTGTGCCAACTATATATCTTTTCAATAAATGCATTTTGTACTATGTTAGGATTCCCCCTGATATATAAAGGGGATCCTAGCCATTTTGTAAAGGAACAAGTTACAATATACAACACACCACATTCAATACAAGAACATTCTCTGCTCTCTAACTCAAATATACTCTCTATTTTGATTCTATTGCTTACATTTATTGTCTTACTTATATTTATCACATTTCATTAATTGTTCATCATTTATTGCTCATTATTGGTCATAAAGAGCCGCCATCACATTTATCATAACTGTTAATCCTTCATCGACTGCCCTTAGCCAGGCATCCGACTCGATCTCGAGGCCCAGTATACGCCAGCTCGAGGCCCCGATTTCTAGCCATTCGGTTTGATTATTACACTATCTACAAGTTCTTATCTTATCTTCTAATCTCTCACTTAGCATCTATTGCCAAACAACTAGCATAAAAATAGATCACGTATTTTTAGAACCACAAAATCAAATCTAATTGTTATTACCATTTTCAAGGTAAACAGTTTGGCGCCCACGTGGGGCTAAAAATAATAGTGTTTGTTTTCTTGCTGGTTTACTACATAACGCAAGTTATCTTTCACACTTTTTCTTGTCCAAGATCTTTGATTTCAGGTCAAAATGTCTAACTCAGTAAACGCACATGAAAACAACGGTCTTGAGGACCATGGAGAAAATGGTGTAGTTGTTCCAGGTTTTGGTGTACCACCACGAAACCCTGAGGATGCACCAGAACCAATTCCCGTGGACGTGGTCTCGCGCAACGCTCAACACGTCGAGATAAGCTCCCACACCAACAGGAATATACATCAAGAAAACCAACAGGAAGCCCAAAAACCCTGGCTCAGGAAGAACAAGGGGTTAGCCTTCACGTCATCTTCGAGATGTTACAGGCACAACAGCTGGCGATTGCTCAGCTGCAAAGCCACCAGAAAACTCCCAGCACGGTAGCACCGAAAACGGCTGCCCGAGCCGAGCAGGTACCAGAAAGATCAAGCAATAACGGGTCGGCAGCCGACCCCGCCATCATAAAGATGCTCGAGGACCTCACAAAGAGGATCGAGTCGGGCGAGAAGAAGATAGAAGCCAACGACAAGAGGGTAGAGACCTACAACCCTAGGGTCGATCAAATTTCGGGCGCACCCCCGATCCTGAAGGGTGTAGATTCGAAGAAGTTCGTACAAAAGCCGTTCCCACAGGAAGCGGCTCCAAAACCCATTCCGAAGAAGTTCAGAATGCCCGACCTTCCGAAGTACAATGGAACCTCGGACCCCAACGAGCACGTCACTACTGCTTACACTTGTGCAGTGAAGGGCAATGAACTAAAGGACGACAATATCGAATCCGTCCTACTAAAGAAATTCGGAGAGACGCTTTCAAAAGAGGCGATGATGTGGTATCACAACCTGGCCCTAAACTCGATAGACTCGTTTGCCATGGCGGCAGATTCCTTCACAAAGGCGCATGCTGGTGCCATCAAGGTAGCTACAAGGAAATCCGACGTCTTCAAAATCAAGCAAAGGGAGAACGAGATGCTGCGAGAGTTCGTGTCTAGCTTTCAGATGGAACGAATGGAATTACCACCAGTCTCCGATGACTAGGTAGTGCAGGCCTTCACTCGAGGCTTGAACGAGCGAAGCTCGGTAGCTTCGAAGCAGAACTTGATTGAATATCCCGCTGTGACTTGGTCGGATGTCCACAACCGATACCAATCAAAGATCAGGTTCGAGGACGACCAACTAGGAGCCCCCTCGGGCTCGGTATATCCTAGTAGGCTTCAGGCAAAGGAGCCAAGGCCAAACAAATAAAGATACCAACCATACACTGAAGATAGAAGAAACGCCCCAAGGCGCAACATACCCCGAAACGATCGAAGAATGGATTGAGGTCAGAATCCTTGGGGACTTGTGAGCAAAGCCGGATTCGATAGGAACACAGGCCGACGGAAGCGCCCCGCTTGTCGGAAGATAATTTCAACGTCGATGCTTCAGACATCGTATCTGCCATCGGTAAAATCAGGGACACCAGGTGGCCAAAGCCTGTACAATCGGATCCTTCACAAAGGAACCATAACTTAATGTGCGAATTTCACGGCACACACGGTCACATGACCGAAGATTGCCGGCAGCTCCGGGAAGAAGTAGCCCAGCTGCATCTCCGAGAATTCCTCAGCGACCAAGCCAAAAATCAGTTCCGAGAAAAAGAGATGACCAAGAAAAATGAAACTGATGAACCACAACATGTCATCCACATGATCTTTGGAGGCATTGACGCTCCACAAGAACCCACGGTCAGGAGAACAAAAATATCCATCACCAGGGAGAAGCGAACTCGAAGTTACATACTCGAGGACGCCTTCACATTCAGCGACGAAGATATCTAGGCTCTATCTCAACCTCATAATGACGCATTGGTAATTTCTTTTCTTGTAAATACATTTCAAATTAAGCGTGTGATTGTGGATCCAGGTAGCTCGGCAAACATTATCAGGTCGAGAGTGGTGGAGCAGCTCGGACTGCTCGACCAGATCGTTCCCGCGTCTCGAGTCCTCAACGGATTCAACATGGCGAGCGAAACAACGAGAGGGGAAATCACCCTCCCGGTCAACGTGGCTGGCACAACCCAAAATGCCAAGTTTCATGTCATCGAAGGAGACATGAGGTATAACGCCTTGCTCGGAAGGCCATGGATACACTGCATGAGTGCAGTACCGTCCACCCTCCATCAAATGATGAAATTTCCAACAAAGGACGGAATAAAAAGCATCTACAGAGAACAACATGCAGCGAAAGAGATGTTCGCGGTGCACGATGTGGCACCAGCGCCAATACCTCCAACATCGAAGGAGCCAAAGGATAAACAAACAATAAAATAGCAACAACAAAATATACTCTCGGCTACACCCGACTGAACAAGTAAAGGACCGTGCCGCGTCCTCAGAACAAACCATCAGAGCATATCAAGGCCTAAAACGCCGTCAACACTGAGGTATGATCATCTCCCTTTTTATTTTACATTTTACGCTAACCTGTGTACAGGTGTTCGATCGAAACAGCCGAAGCGCTTTCCAGCCTGAAGACCTTGGGTTTCAAAAGCATGCGTTGAACTCTTTTCCTTCGATCGGGTTTTATCCTAAGGAGGGTTTTACCAGCAAGGTTTTTAACGAGGCAACACCTATATGCCACCTAAGGAAGACTCAACAAGTATTCAAGTCTTCTCTTCAATCGACCTCGAATACTGGGGGACATCCCCCCGAAAGGTCACCTCCTCGGAGAAGCCAAGAGGTGCTAAATGGGGTCTCGATAGGAAAACGATGTACCGGGCCAAACGGTCGAACAAACCGTGTTCCTATAGAATAACCGAGCCCTTGACAGTGAAAACATGTATACTTGTACCAAGTAATCAAAGAATACTTTCCCCTCCGTCAAAGCATTTCACGTTTCAAAGAAGTTTGCCATTTTTTACAAAAACGGCCCCAGAGCCAAAAATGTCCCGAACACTAGGGACTGGCGTCAAAAATTCGAAGACGTATGACCTCCGGGTCGGAAACTTCAAACTCGTAAGCCCTCAATGAGGAAACATCAAGTTTGCAAAAAAAATGGCTCCACAGCCAAAAATGTCCCGAACACTCGGGGACTGGCATCAAAAACTCGTAGTTGTACGACCTCCGGGTCGAAAGCTTCGAACTCATAAGCCCTCAATAAGGCGATACTAAGTTTACAGAAAATGGCTCCAGAGCCAAGAAAACTTTCAATGTCTCGGGGACTGTCGTCGACTGCCACCCTCTTAGACTTAACAACAACCCGAGGCCATAAGACCCCATGTGGGCAACCTCGAGCTCATAAGACCTTTATAAGGCAACCATACTTGTACCAAGTAACAAAATCTGTAAGACCTCAAGCAAGGCATGAACCATACTTATACCAAGTAACCAAAACTGTAAGACCTCAAGCAAGGCATGAACCATACTTGTACCAAGTAACCAAAACTGTAAGACCTCAAGCAAGGCATGAACCATACTTGTACCAAGTAA